TTTTTTTTAACAGACTTTGTCTTTTTTAGAGCAGTACCTCTGAAAGGAGGGTACAGAGACTTTTCATATGCTCCCTGTGCCCCCCACCCTCCCACATTATCAACATTCCCCACCAGAGCAGGGCTTTTGTTGTAATTGGTAAATCTACATTGACACATTCTTGCCCAGAGTCCATAGTTTACATTAGGATTCAGTGGGTTTAGACAAATGTATAATAACACGTATCTACCATAATAGTATCATAACAGAATGGTTTCACTGCCCTAAAAATTTCCTGTGCTCTCTCTTTTCATCCCTCTGTTCCCCCTAACCCTGGGCAACCACTAATCTTTTTATTATCCCCATAGTTTCACCTTTGTTACATGATGTTTTGGGAAAGCAAGTTTGTCTTTAACTTTTGCTTAGGTTTTATATTAAAATTAGTTTGTATTTCTGTAAACTGACTACAGTAGTTCACCAGGCGGTAAAAGGTAGCCTGGAAATTCACAGAGCGAGTAGTTCATATGTAAATCACTGAAGGAGATATCTACTCATGAGTATTTCATTATTCGTAATACCCTAAATTTCAAGGCTTATTGTTGAGAGTACATGGTATGCATTTCATATGCGGGATTATGTTTTTGTAACTACTATACAAATTCTGTTAGAAGGGACTGACTAGAAGAAATGTTAAGTTACACACAAAACAGCTACTAAAGGACACGTGACAGTATTAATAAGTTTTTCTAAGTTTTTTTTTTTTAAGATTTTATTTATTTGACAGAGAGAGACACAGCAAGAGAGGGAACACAAGCAGGGGTAGTGGGAGAGGGAGAAGCAGGCTTCCCACTGAGTGGGGAGCCCGACACGGGGCTCGATCACAGGACCCTGGGATCATGACCTGAGCCGAAGGCAGACGCTTAATGACCCAGCCACCCAGGCACCCTCTAAGTTTTTTTATGAAGAGAATTGCCATCCCTGCTCCTCACTCTCACCAACCAAATAATCTCTGGTTGTCTCCTCACAGAGTTATGGCCGTGGGAAAATGCTGAAAAGATGGTAATTTAAGACAAGATAATATGAATGGGTCATTGGAGCAGAGGAAAATGTAACATTGTGGGCAAATACAGCACCCCGCCCTCCCCCGGCCAAAAGTTCCATAGAGATTTGAGTCAGAGTTTAGGCCTTAGAGGACAGAGGCAGAAGAAATGTTCCAAAAGAAAAAGTGGAAGGGTGGCAAACCCGAACTTCCTGAATTTCAGAATTATTTTCCAGGCTACCCTGGCACTTAGGAGTAGGAAGTTTATTCCTTCTTCGTTGGCCTAGCCCAGGGTTTCTCACCTGGGCACTATTGGCATTAGGACTCAGTGATTCTTTGTTGTGTGGGTTTTGTTGATGCTTAGCAACATCCTTAGCCTCCACCCACTAGACGTAGTAACAACTCCCCCTCAGTTTGTAACAACCAAAAATATCTCTAGACCCTCTAGATGCCAGTAGCACCCTCAGATGTGGCTGCCAAAAATGTCACCAGACAATGGCTAATGTCCGTTAGGGGGCAAAATCACTCCCAGTTGAGAACCACCAATCTAGCACATTCCCTAAAATACTGGTTTGTATGCTTAGTTGCACTTCACCTTGAAGAACAGAGAACCCAACCTCTAAATGTTGCATACCTTTTACTGAGATATGTTCCAGGTTCTCAGTGACTGACTTATAATGATCTTTTGTACCACAGCTCATTTATAAATGAGGGAGTATGTATTTGCCGGTGTTCTCACTCCAGATATAGTATATGCTAATGAGAGACTGAAGGTGATACACAAAAAGATGTTGTGACCTATTGAACATGTTTTATAGATGAAGTTGTGCATCTCCTTTTTGCATTTGTGCTGGGACTCTTTTGTTCAAAATATTTCATTCATGCTTGATGTCACAATGATTATTGCATTTTATATCTTCTCATTAAAAGGAGCAATAAACTAGTAAATATTGGTATGAAAAGAGGTTGCATAGGTATTCAGATATTAGTTATTTAGTATTTTTAAACCAGGTTTAGGTGGTCAAAAGTCTTTGAGTCCCAATAAAATAGTTCTGAATCTCAAAGGTTGGGTGAAGATGACATTGGTCAGTTTCATTTTATAAAAGATACCACAAGTTTTTTAAAGAATCTTGCCTGAGAGTCAGAAACAAAATGACCCTGGTCTGGACTCTTCCTTGAATAAGCTCTGTGACATGGGAAAATGAGTTCACCTCTCAGGGTTTAGAGATTCCTCGTCTGTCAGATCTAAGGGGAGGGACAGATTGTATGGTCTTCCAGGACTATGCCAGCTCAAACATAGTGTCAGATTTTAAAAATACGTTTGTGAATTGTAAAATTTTTAAAATTTTTTTTTTAGTTTTAAATCTGTTACAGAGGGGTGCCTGGGTGGCTCAGTCATTAGGCGTCTGCCTTCGGCTCCGGTCATGTATCCCAGGGTCCTGGGATCGAGTGCCGCATGGGGCTCCCTGCTCCGCAGGAAGCCTGCTTCTCCCTCACCCACTCCCCCTGCTTGTGTTCCCTCTCTCGCTGTGTCTGTCTCTGTCAAATAAATGAATAAAATCTTTTAAAATAAATAAATCTGTTACAGAGTAGTGATACCTAAAGGAAGGAGACAGAAGGAAGAACTAGGTATAAATGTCATTCAAGGATGACTCCAAATAAACTCATCTATTAAATTGAGCTTGTATTATGTAAAATGGAAAGAGGTACTCATTCAATGCTAACAATTACTAGCTATGGACTATAGGAAGTAGTTTCTGTGGGTGACCAGTTTTGCCCTCAAATATTCTGCAAGAGGAATATTTAAAAGTTAAAAAAGCAAGATTGTGCCTTTGACAATAACTGAAAACCAAGCTGTCAGGATCATTTTTATTTTTTGCTTCTACTTTTGTGTAAAAAGATTGTGAAGACATCAGATAATGTGAAAGAAATCTGGTGGTCTGTCATCTTTATAAAACCATTTAATTGGCTCTGGCTAATAGTCTGTGAATCTTTTAAACACAGTAGAGACAGCTTTTCAAATAGCAATGCCATATTATATAAATCCAGCTCACTTCCTCAGCAAATGTAGTTTCCTACCTTTAACAGTGTTTTTTACTGATAACGTATAGATTTTTAGATGTCCTCTAGCCAGTTCTGCAGCTGGGTATCGAGAAAAAAAGCATTTGATTCTAATTCCTGAAATAATTACTTCATCTACTACAGAAGCAAATATATTTTCATTCTTCTCAATTAATATGCAGAGCTTCAAATGTTGTCATATGTCATAAAATTAAATAGCTCCTTTTCAAATTGAGCTATAATATTTGACAGTCATCATTCAGAACAGTGACCAGAATAATAAAAAAATAATTCTCTCCTTTCCTGAACACTTTTTAATTTCTCTTCCTGCCTTTAATTGCTTTGCTTTATAGGCATATCTGACACTTCTAACCATTTTGAGATTGATTGTTAATGAAAGGGGCATAGAGAAAGGAGAGCTAATCTGGAAGTTTGTGTCTAAAATGCAGTTATTGAGTGATGTCAATAGATTGTCAAATTTCTCCATTCTCTTATTTAGGTGATGATGGCCCCTTAAGGATGATCATTAATTTTTGGCTGTTGGTTTATTTCTTTGACCTGCAGACTGAGATGTAAAGATTTTTGCAGTTGCATTTGAATCAAAACCCAGGTTTGCCTTAGAAGTATCAGGGCAAGGTCACAAAGTTTTCCTGGGCTTCAGTGTCCTTTGTATAAAATGGAAATAATAGTTTTTTTCTTAAGAATACCATGGAGGATGCCTAATAATGAGAGTTATGTTCGTGCCAAATATTAAATATCATTTCTAAATGATAGGATTTGATCAAATTATCTTAGCATTTTTCTGCTTCTCTCAGGTAAAATTGCAGTAGTTGGATCTGTAAAATTTGAAGAATAGAACTCCATCTCTCGTATAACTTCTTATGGTATTAATAGGGTCAAAGGAAAGCAATCTTTTGGGAAAGAAGCTTCAGAGATAATGTGAGGAGGAAGAAGTGGGATACATTTCCAAAATCATGCAAATTATTGTGCTCTGATAATTCAGTTGGAATTTAAACCCTACTTTTGAAATAGAAGCAGTTTCTTTCATAAACAAAACTGAGAGCCAATTTTTTTCCTGTCTTTAAAAGGGAACATACTTCATAGCTGCATTAATTTAAAAATACTAAAATAACAGGGTGGCAGCACTCAGTAAGAAACCAGTGTGGCTTTGGCTACGTTTCTGTTGCTTCTAAGTTCTTTTCAAATATTATAATTAACTGTATTCTTTCTGCTGTTTAATCTGCTTATCCTAATTTTCCATGCTATTCCTTGAGCTGATAGATCTATCCCCTCAGTAAGAAAGAAAATGAGAAGAAAATAGTTTGTGTCTTACTGTGGCAATTGCTATGTTTGCATGAAGCTTTCTTTATATGTAAATTGTATTTCCTCCTCATTCCAATCCATTATTTTTTCCTATCTCTAAATGTAAGGTTCTTAACGATCTTGGAGATTTCATCAGATGAGGACAGACAGCTGGTGAACGTTCTCTGGCTCTTCAACCCCTTTTCCATATCTTACCAAAATCCCTTTCCATGACAAATACCTAGAATATTTAGAAGCCCAAATATTCAGGAAAATTTTTATTATAATGCTTGCTTTTCTGTGATTTCACCCCCTTGTGTCAAGTCATTTGGTGAGATAATCATGCTATTATGTGGAAATAGTTTCCTCTTCTAGAATTAAATTTAATTCTAATCTTACCACGTCAAGTTCATTCTTCTATTATCAAGGACCAAAAGAGTTTTAACAATGTCCCTGCTTTTTTTTTTCCTTCCCCTTGCTTCCCTCTGTTATAAAAGTTGACAGATATGAATCCCAGGGCAGCTTAAGAGGGCATATCAAAATCGGCACCAGAAAGTATTTAACTTAGGAAACTTGGAGCTATTCTGAACATGTTTAAATCACTACTCTTTACAAATAGGAGGAAGAAGGCACCTATGACCAAACCCTTGAGTTCCGTAGAGGAGGTGATGGCCAGCCAAGAAGATCCACTCGGCCCACGCAGCAGTTTTACCAACCTCCCCGGGCCCGGAACTAATATGAGAAGGTAAAATTGGCATTGTGAGATGGCATTTATGTTGAATATGTAAATCCAATTGTTAATATTTCATAATATAATAGGAAAAAACTGATGTTTCAAACCTTTCAATTATAAAGTATATAAGATTATACCATAGTCATGAGCTACTTTTCCACCAAACCTTTCCCCACAAATGCTACCTCTAACCCCCTTTTTTCTCTATACCCACTTTCTTCTGTTGGAGGTGATGCCAATCAGTGAAATGTCTTTAAGTTTGAAAGCAGGAAGAAAATAAAAGGAAACAAAGGACCAGATAATCACCAACTTGGATAATTGAGTTTTTTATTATTTAATTAATTTCAATCCTTTTTAAAAAAGAGGAAATGTTTTCATAGTGTATCTTCAGGAATTGGATGAAGATAACGTGATTGCTTACAGAGATGGGATTTGGGGGCCCTGTGCTATCGATCCAAAAACTTTCATCTTAGAGTTTCAGAGAGTTGTTCTCTGAAAATTATCTTCAATGGGAAGGATGAGAAATATAACAAAGAAGTCAGGTAATTATGGGACCAATCTAAGGCACCTCATTTTGATCAACAAAGACCTTATTTTTTAATATGTTATTAGAAGGAAATAACTTTTGTCATCTTTGGTAACATTTCTATTTTTTCAATATGCCCAGACTTTTGAATAGTTTCAGAGTTTTCCCATTACAGCTTTTGTTATATAGCACTCTAAAGACTATAAGAGACTGTTTTAGACTTAACTATATCTTTTTTCTCAGTCTCTTCTTCTCAGTAACAAGACCATTGAGAATTTTTAAGAAATTGTTCTCAGTTTCTCATTTCAGCTATTAATTTTGCTAAGGCTGTTATCCACATTGTATTTTCCCCCTGCTAAGTGACCCTCTTGATTTTTCAAACCAGCTGTGGCTTTTTAGCACTTGAAATGCAGCTAGTCTAAATTGAGATGTGCTATAAATGAAAAATACATATCAGATTTTAAAGACTTAGGTAAAAAAATAAAATATCAGTAATTTGTATTGTTTATGTATTGAAATGAGACTATTTCTGATAGGCTGGATTAAATAAAATATGTTACTAAAGTTAATTTCACTATTTGTACTTTTTAAAATGTGACTAATGGAAAATTTAAAATTGCATGTGTCTCACATTATATTTGTGCTGGGCAGCACTGTCCCAGAGTCTTAGATCTCCTTCAGCTTTCCCAAAGCTCCTTCACTGGTTACAAATTAGCTCTGTCATCCTAAGTGAAGGAATGTTTTCTTCTGTGTTCTAGTCCTTCGTTCCTTATGAAGTAGTCTGCCTGGAGTGGAAGTCTCATGCTACCTGACTTCTGATTTACCTGAGCGGGCCTGAGTAGCATCTTCTTTGTCTTATCACTGGCTTTTCTTTGTGCTTAATACAAGGCCACTGAGTAAATAGCCGGTATCTACTGTCCATATTATCACAGAAGGACTACTTCATGACTGGGCATTTTTCTGTAACAAGCACTGACCAGAGCAGATTCCAAGTATATGTAAAGACTTCCACAACTTTACATTGTGCAAGATTGAACATAAGTTCAGTGTGCTTACAATTAAAGCACTTTTAAGGTGAATGAAAACTGAGAATTCCCTCATAGCTTCCTGAGGGCGTCTAAATTGGTTAAACCAAGGTTTTAAAATAAGGCCGAAGGTTCTCAACTCCCTGATTGCTCTAGGTTGCCTAACAGCGGTCGCAGGATTAGGACTTTTCAGCGGTATCCCGAGGCTGCAAAATAGAAGGTGGGTAGGGCTTGGCAGGGCTGGAAGTAGAGAGGAGGTTGTGAGGGTGAGTAAGGCTGCAGCCAGAAGGCTAGAACTCCCATCGTCTAGGCCTGTCTTTGGTTTCTTTCATATGTTTTCTAGATTAGGCTTCCACAGAAAATGTCCTCTGAAAAAGAACATACTGCTTAAAGTAAACCAGAAACCATAGCTCCATGGTAATTATAGCTCATCGATACCAAATACTACGATGCATGCTGCTCCCAATCAACTGAAACGTCACAATGTTAGTGGTTTTCTGTGTTCCCTAAGTTAAAACGCCCATTTTTCCCAGGTGCTTGCTTTGGATTGTCCTGTTGATGCGGGAAATGTGTGACAGAGATTTTGGATTCCTGACATTGATAAGAAAATTAATTTTGCTGCATGGGGGAGGAAGGGGGCACAGTCTCATGATGGTATCACTAAAAAAACCTCTCACTACAAAATTTACTCTGAAAAATAAATAAATAAGCAAAACACATGTGCTCTTGGTTGAAAAAATTAATCTCTTATTTTAATTCAAACATGAAAGATTCTGAAGTAGAATTGTCTTTTTGATATACTACCTTTAATGGGAGGTTCACCAACACCAAGAATTATACCTTGTGTTCTTGTCACACAACCAATATGCTATTTTCTTCTTGAGAGAAAAGATATTTTTGTTTCCTCATTCCTGGTTTCCATTAACTTAAAGCGTTTAAAAAGAAGATATACATTGTAGCCCACCGTTTGACTTCCAGCAAATATAAGTATGAATTCTAATATATGCTGAAATTTTTCTCAGGTTTTGTTATCTAAAATTATTCAGGATAGTAAGAAACACTTAAGGCACTTTCTATTCTCACTTAAAAACCGTAATTTCAAAGTCATACTTTTTTTTTATAATGTTTTGGGTACTTTGCTAGGTGATGAATAACACATAGTACCTGTTTATTAAATAAGTATATTTTGATAAGGTTTCTGATGTGTAGTTTACACATTCTTTGATTGTCCTAAAAGGTTTTCTTTGCAAGCCCTCTGTCCCACCACCACCACTTCACATGCGCATATATACTTCCCCCAAGGTGGAGAGGGATTTGGATTCTACTTGGTCTTGGTACTAAGCACAACATCAGACACTAGAAAAGCAGGAGATGCCTGGGAGTCCAGGCTAGGTGAGAGAAGGAGGTGTTGGGGAGCAATGTGGGGAAATAGGCCCAAATCTGGGACAAAGTGGTGGTGAGTCAGATCTGAGCCTTTAGGGGAAAGAGGGCCCAAACTCCAAACTTCTAGTTCCTGCGCTTGTCATAATCGTCCCAGGTAACTCAGAAATATGAGTAGATATGGATAGAGGAATTATACATAGTTCTTTAATCCGTGAAGCTGGCCAAAACTACATGCACTAGAAGAGGTGTCTGACATGACTGGAGTCCTGGGAACTAGATACCAATGAGTAGAGGCAGGCCTCAGGAATAAATTTGGAGCTTCATTTTCATGGTGGGGTAGAGTCCTCCGAAGACATTCTAAAGGCCGAGGAACACTTAAAGAGGGGAGAAGCAGAGTTCACAGCAAGCGGCTTTCAGTGACAACAGTAGAGTATGTGAACCCAACAGTAGATGTTAAACATATGTGTTGGTGGTGACAAGAGTGTGGCTTTAGCTGCACTGGTGGCAATGAACTTCGGAGTAAGGGTAATAGGATCAAAATTAAGCTTAGGCAGTACTGCTGTTGGCTATGGGATCACAGCACCGGGAGTCAACAAAGCTAAGAAGCTGTCACAGTAGTCAGTCAGGGGTGCTTACAGTGTCCCGTCCTGTGGTGAAAAGACAGAGATGACCTGTGTGGGGACACTCTGGAGCCCCCGAGGGCCACCAAAGTTAAGACTTCGTGCCAGAAGCAGTTTATTAAATGTTGGGTCGCTTTGAGTATTCACTTCCAGTTTCTTACTTGTTTGATGAAAGAACGGTCCTCACAGTTTCACAGATCAACCAGAAACCTTGAAGCCAAGAGCTAAGCATCGACTACTGCATAAATGTCATGACTTTATTTTCTAAAGTCCAGGTTTTAACACCATTTTTCAGCTGGTAAAAAAAAAAAAAAAATACATTTTTAAATGTCTTTTTTTTAACAATGTGGCCCAGCGTCCCTCTGTAAAACTTTGAAATCAAGGTCAGGGAAATGCTTGCTGTAAAGACAGCTGTCACAGAACCCACTGATGCCAGCAGGACAGGCGTCCTGTGAGGGTAACAGCGCCCGAAGCTCTTCATCTTCCACACAGGACACTGTGCACTTCCGAAGGCGAACAGAGCTGTTGGTGTGCAGCCGGGGGCGCTCTGCCCTCCCTGCCCGAGTGCTCTTTCCCGCACGCGGCTGGCATGCGACTCTGGCACACGGGCTTCTCTCCCCGCTCCTCTCAGCCGTTCTGTGGTCACCACCCAAAGTGCTTCAACTAGAGCGGTGCCGGTAGGGGTTGGGAGCAGGCAGGAGCGGGTGACAGACTCACATAAATTACCCGTGTGGACGGAGCCAATCCAGAGGCGTTCAAAGGGGAAATGGAGGTGGGTAGGATGGGGGTCAAAGTGGCCCATTGGCAGACTGCATCTTTTCCAGGTCATCCTCTGTGAAATACCGTTTAGTTAATCCAAGTTCCTGAAATCGACATGCCAGCAATAATAGGGCTCGCAATGACAGAGATGTACTCTAAGAATTTCGAGAAGAAAAATTATTTTGATTTTGCTTTTTGTTTATATACTGATTTATAGAAATTATGTTTATAAATTAGACAGCAGTGTGCAATTTAGTCTACTTGAGATCTATTAATATTTATACAAGCACTTCACATTTACATAGGTCTCAGCAGAAGTGTATCTTGAGTACAGAAAAGTCAATTTGAGGATCCAATCTCACTTTCCTCCTCTCTTTTTAAATAGAGCCTTTGTGAAGAAAGGAGCCATTGACTGAAATCCTGGTCAAGACCTGTTGATAGACCTCCTACTTTCCCTTCAGAATAAGGTGCAGCCGTGATGAATATTATTATTGAAGAATGGAAAAGCAGATTTTAGAGGGGAAACAATCCAGCTCATACAAAGAATGGGAAAAAATACTAAGTTAACTAGAGCAAGTACCTTTTACAAGTGAATGAGAATTTTTTCTTCTGCCATCAATAAAACCAATGCGCTGTTATATACATTGTTTTACTGTATGTTTTATTTGCTGAATAGTATCTTTCTTGTTCGTCTGGTATTAATCCCATAGTATAGAGTGAAATAGCAATCACAGGATCCTGAAGTCCTCCCCACCACCATAATTACAGAATAAACTGACTGACACAGCTTGCCACATTTCCTGCAAAGCAACCTGCAACTGGATAGCAGTTCTTGGTAAGGTAATAGGTACTAAATATGATAGCAAAAAGTGTTTAAAGTTTGAATATATTGTTTTTAGCACTCGGCTAGCTTTTTCAAGTGTATTTCAATTCAAAACCAAGCATTCCCTTCCTTTTAAAATTTGCAGTGGCTCTTTCAAGATGTATCTGGTTGCTGATAATGGAAAACCCCACTCAAACTGGCTTAAACATTAAAGGGAATTTACTGGCTGGCTGAACTACCAGAAGCTCAATAAGTTTCAGCTGATTTAATTTAGTGACACAGAGTTGTCACACAAGACCCTGGTTCGTTGCATCTTTCATTTCTGCTTTCTCTGGCATCGGCTGCATTCTACAGCAGACTGCCCCATGGGATCATGAGATGGCTTCAACTCCCAGAGCTATTGAGTCCAAGGATGGGCTTGGGGTCACTTCCAGAAGGGCACTCAGAAGAGGAAAGAAGCCTTTCTCCTGAGGCTGCATTTACTAATACTGCGCTACTTTCCTGCCTGTGAACCAGTGACTTCAGCAAGGGTCTGTGGATTAGTTTAGGACTGACCCAAGTGCCCCAACATTAAAAGTGGGGGTGGAAGCATGTTTTGAGACAGAAGATATGTGTCCACAAGCCAAGGTTCTTGCCAAAGGAGAGGGAGACCAGAACATCCATTACAGAGAAGGAATATGTCTGAACTACAAACTATGTAATATGACAAAGACAGTCTTCCCATAGTCTCAGTTTGTGAAGCCAGAAGAGAACAGTTAAAAAGAAAGATTAGAGGGAAAGGAGAGGGGGGAAGGAAGGAAGGAAGGGAGGGAGGGAGGGAGGGAGGGAGGAAATAAAATCCTCTGGCCAAAGTAATTGACAAAATGTCATGCTTGGCTTTGTAGGAGAGGGCTTTAGGCCCTCGCTCAGGGCCTATGAATTCTACATTTTCTTTATTAACCCATAGTTGATCATTTCTACAGCATTGTAATAAGTGACAGGATACAGGTGAAAATGACATGGCTAGCAGTGTTGAGTTTTTTGTTTTTTGTTCTTTACCATTACTGTGCATCATAATCAACTAGGAAGGGGATGGCTCGGGCATGGTATTTTTTCAAAAGATCTCCAAGTAAGCTAAAGTGTATCCTGAATTGAGAACCGGAGGAAGACCCGTGGTAGTTTTAATGAATTTGACAGCTGTTAAGTCAGTGGGGGAAGAGGCAGAAGAGCTTCAACGGAGGTACTGGTTCTGCACACTTTCTGGTTTAACAGATGGAAATGGTCATACCTAGTAATACCCAGTGTTACTTCAGTGGCTGGCACTAGTGTTGGCTAGTGGTTTTCTGAAAACTCAACAGTCCCTAAGAACAGTTCTGAATGATAATATGAGCTATGTCTGATTTGACATGAAGGTATCAAGAGAAATGTAAGTTGGACAGCAAGTGGGCCCACCTGTCTGTCCTTCTGACTGCTGGTGGCTGCTGGAGCACTGAGGGGAAGGAGTCCACTGCTGACAGGCTCCTGGGCTAACTGGGCTAACTCTACCATAAGCTGAGCCGCACTGTGACTTTCTGTTAATTGAAGGCCAGCTGCGGGCCCGGATGTGAGGATGGGGGGTGTAATCATAAAAGAATCATTACTCTTTGCAGGGTTTCCCTAGGTGCCAGCATGGGGTTAAGCACTTTCCATTCATTACCTTTTGGAATGTTCACCGCAGCTCTGTGAGGTATGCATTTCTATCTCCATTCTGCGGCTCTGGTAGCTCCGTTGGAGAGGTCTGCGCTGCGGCACACAAAGTACAAGCGTGAGAGGCAGGATGCCAAGCAGGCAGTCGACAAGTACCCTGAAGGAGTTCGGTTAGAAGCCTGCACTGGGGGAGTGCCTTTTCTCTTCCCTTTCCCCCTCTCACTGTCTGTTTCGGTTTGCATTATGGATATATTTCTGTCGTGTGAATTAGTCCTTTCGGTTTGCTTTACAACTTGATATTGTAGTAAAGGATGAGGTTCAGCTTTGGCTTTTCCTCCGGGTTCTCTCCCCCACTCACCCTCCCTCTCCTTTCTTCCTCTTGTGGCAAGCCTGCCTTTGCCTTTGCCTTTCCATATCCATATTCTTAGCTCAAATTCTTTTTCCTCCTTTCAAAGAAAAAATGGTTTTATTACAGTTCAAAAATTAATGTTTATGTATTTGTTCAGTAACTATTTTCTGAGTACTGACAGTGTCCTGGGCACCGTGATGTAAAGAAGACCAACACGATCTCCAGTCTCATAGCGCTCACGGTCTAGCGCCCTTTATCAGTTTGCTATCTGCATATTAACCTTTTTCACATACCTTTTCTTTATTATAAACTTCATCTCTTAAATGTTCTTCATTGACCTTTATTTTGGCTAAACTTCTAAAAATTACCCATTTACAGTTTTAATATTTTACCTTCTGTTCGCTATCATTTTTTTAATGTTTTTAATTTTAAAATATTTTCCCTCTCTGGGCCGTGGGTATTAGTTTTCTGAAAAAAGTCTTCAAAGTTTGGGGAAGCACCTGAGGCTGCCTCCAAACTTCCACCACTTCTCCGGGTGGACCTGACACGTGACATGAGGGGTGGTCAGTGCCGCTAACCATGTCCTTCCCACCCATGCCCCCTTCACTTAGTAAGATACTGTAGAAACAACTCTTGGCTAAAAAATGAAGAAAACTTAAGAGGTGGTAAGCTCTAAGAATTTCTCATGCCCTCTTCTTCAAAGCAGAGCCCGAAATTTTGTCACTTGTTTTGGCCAGAAGAGAATCCCCTTGAGCCCCCTCCGGTCCTCTTTGCCCTCCTACATTTCCCTAGTTCTTCCTCTCTCCCCCTTTCTTTCCTTCTCTCTTTTGCTCTCCCTAATTATGCACTTCGAGCTTTTTAGACTGACAGTATGGGGAGACTGTCTCTCTCCAGTTAAAGAGTTTGTGGCTTACTTGACCTTCCAGGCTTGGACCATAAGGGCAACACTCCCAGGCTCATATGTTTTTCTAGTGTTTCTATAGTTACATCTCCCGTGGGCCTTTCTCTGTGACTCTTAGGTAACTCCGTGTCTGGTTCAGCTGACTGCAAGGAGTAACCACAAGGAACAAAGGAGGAAAATGCCTGATACTGGTCAGAGAGGCGCTCGCCCTGTGACTAGCCCTGCCCCTGACTGGCACACGCGCGAGAACAAGATGCTATCCTGTGTGTGAGTGACTTAGAGTGTCAGTGCACGGCTTGGAGGACCTGTCACAGGCCCTGTCTCTTGTCCCTGTTGGGGGTAGATACTTTATGCAGTTTTTCAAAAGTAAAATGTGCCAGAGTGTTTATCATTTTGCTCTATCTGGCATGCCAGGAATACTTCTTGAGGTGAAATGCTGCAGATAAAAAATTCATTTAGACAGTATGTTTGCATAAGGAGGAAGACAAGGCCACAGACATCAAAAATGGCTTAATAGAAAGAGGAAAGAGAACAAGGCCAGCTCAGTTGTTTTAACTACAGCAGGAAAATCTTGAGTTTGGTGTCACATACTTTACATACATGGGAAGGACAGAGTACAGTTGAGAAGGCATTTAGCCAGAGGAAGAGATTCCAGGTATGGCTGGGATAGGCCCTCGCTGGGGCCGAGGTGGACTGGGACCCTCTGTTGCTCAGCGCCAGTGAACACCTAGCAGAGGGGTGGGCAGCAGCTCGGGGCTGGCTCCGGAAGGGATGCTGGATAGGCAGGGGGTCCCAGAGCTCCCTCAGGGTCCAACACGAGGAGAAACACAGGGCACAGGGTGCAGGCTCGGTGGATCAGGCACCAGAGCTCAGTCCTCTAGGTTCCCCTTTCATCAGATTTTTCAAAAGCGTGGGCAGAGGACCTGGCACATTACTTAAAAGAATATAGGGTCACAATGAACCACTTCAGTAAAAGAGGCCTTCTCTGAAAGGGATATTTGGGCCCCCATTCTGGAAGCACAGCTAACTAATAACTCTTTCCCAATCTGAGGAATGACAAGGTTGATAAAGAGACACATTTGGCAAACATTTGTTTTCCTCTCATTTATTTTCTGTCCTTTGAGAAGACAGGCATGAAACACACCAATAGCACAGCGCCTGCTACAAGAGACTTGGGTTCCCTCTGGGCTCCAGAAATACCAAGAAAAGCGGAGTTTGCTACCTGGAGAATATGGGGCTTAAAAAGGTGCTTACTATAAATATTAGAGGTTCTGCTCACAAGGGGGTGAAACTGTCTCCCTTGACAAAGGCTAGTGGGTACCAGGAACACAGTGGTCAAAGGGGAAGTAGAAAGTCAAAATGAGGATATTATATGAAGGAAAGTGCTCTTAGAGAAATACTCGAAAACAAAGAGCCAACTTTTTCAGCTCTCATTCTCCAAGATTGGAGGCCATCTGCATATCGGAGAATCCCCACCCCCACCCAGGATGTTTAAATCCGAGCATTATTACCTCTTCTGTTAAGAGTTTGTTTCATGATCCGAAGGTGGTCTCTGGACAGTGGATGGATTATCCTGGCACATGGTAACTCCTTTGTCTTTTCTTTGCTAATTTTTCCATCTGCCTGCCTTCCAGATAGCAAAGTTTATGGCCATGGTTAGACTGATAATGTAGGTTTCAAATCTGAAGACATTGCTTGCTAGTATTATCAGCTGCACATTATATAATCCAGGGTAGTGAACATTATAACTTAAGAGAATTATAATGGCATATTTTGTTTCATATTAAGGTAGCCTTAATTGAAGTAATATAATGATTCAATTCAGAGACTGCTGGAGCACCCTCAGTGAATCTTATAAAAGACTTCAAGAGACTAGCTTTCCATCTTGTAGGGTTTAGGTAGGGTTTTGTTCTT